GGGCGATATGCTGACTCTGTAAACCGCTTAGAGAGGGCTGAAAGCCCTATGAAGCGGTATATAAGTCTAACTGCTATTGCTATTGCTATTCTTGATTGCAGACAAGCTGGGGCCCTAAGAAATTTCCAACATGCTAAATCATTTTGTCTCTAAGCCTAAACATGCAGTTGATCTCATGCTTTTCTGATTTGCAATTATGTTAGTTTATAGTCCAGTGATCATATAAAGGGAACTAAGTCTTGTCACTAAGTGATGCGATTGTTAAGTGAAAACTCAAATGACTTCCTGATTTGCAAAGGATTGATATTTTGTTGATGTTCATTTTCTTCTCTTTAGAGGTGAAGATATATTATCCATTCTTACAGCAGTCAATGAAGAAGTGAGCAGACGGGCGGATGCTCAGTGCGAAAGGAAACAGATGCCCCAACCAGCTTATACTCTCAGGAAAAAATTGATCTTCCCTGTGCCTAACGAACCTTTGGTGCCATCAGAGCAGAGTTCAGACATGCAATAATTTAGATTGCTGGGGACAGAGGGAGAAAAGAGTGGTGAGTTCAGAAAGAACTCTTCTCCCTTGTTTTCATTCATTCTTTGTTGTGTTTTGAGCAGGAATTCTGTTGAAGAGGAATAACTTCCATTTGATGTTTAAGATGAAGAAACATGCACTTTCCCAATTCTGCCGCTCATTTCATATGTTAAAAAATGATTTGTATGATCAGCACATTTCTTAAGCAAGCCTTCTTTTCTACGGCTGAAGGGTATCAGATATGGTCTAACTAGGTTTGCTCCATTGGGAAGGAATAGACTGCAGAATTATTGTTGCTCAGGGATCTATCTCCAATCCCAGGAGCAACCTTTGTGGGTTAAGCACCATGAGATCTTTTTTAATACTACCACAATACATAAATTAATATGTCTTTCAGTTATTAAATACAGTGGATACTCTGCTATATTTATTTAATGCTTGCGGAGGCAGAGAAGATGCAGTTTGCAGAAGCCTTGATTATAGATCTTGCCTAAGTTCCAACTCTCTCCAAGAAGTTAATGAAATCCAGAACAAAATCTATATAAAAGGACAGAACCTGGTAGTTCTGTTTCCCCCCTTTCAATGCGAAAATGTTTCCTCTAATCCACAGCAGGTATGGACTGTACATTGTAAATTGTAAATATACAGTTGTACATTGAACATCTGAACAGTTGCTTTACAGTGAGCAGAGGGAAATAAAGCGACATGATAAATTACAACGCAGTGTTTTAGAGATAAGACTTCAACACAGAAATAATGGATAAATACAAATAGGCCAATCTCACGCCAATTAAAAATTGTGTCAGGGAAGAAGTAACAGAAGTCTTGGTTTGCTATATATTTTGAAAGCAAGTTCTTCTATAGATCCTCTAGAAAATAGGCAGAATCTCATATGTAGAGTCACATTCCAGGAATGAAGTAGGGATGTGCAGCATTTTGGATTTAGAGTCAAATTGGTGATTAAAACAAGTTTACGGCCAGGTGCATGCCTTAAAGACGCTTTCCTGGGTGTGCCCAATAGGTATACAATTCCATGAACATATGGGTTGCGGAAGCACCAACAGTGGCTTTTCACTTCAGATCTGAAGTGCTATAAATCTCTAAAATTCAGCTCTTTTTTTAATTGAAGATCGCTTCAGTGTTTTAAGTACACTGTGCAACAGTGGCCAAACATCATTCATTCATTCATTTATTGAATTTCTATGCCGCCCAATCCCAGAGGACTCCGGGCGGCTTACAGAATGAAAAAAAGAATTAAAAAGAATTATTAAAACAACAGGACACCACAAGTTAAAAAGGAACACAACAGACACCCAATCAGACG